GGTATTGTCATATTCATGGAGCCAATAAACTAGTATGTCACAGTTCCCCGCGTTAGATGTTAAACTACATATGAATTTACTGAACGGCGATAGCCGGTTCGCAGCAGTATTTCGAATTTCCTCTAGACACAAGCTTCCGCCAGTTTATTTAAAAAATTAGGAGCACTTTAATCAAGTTATGCTATTCATGTATTATGTATTCATGTATTCATGTATTCATGTATTATGTATGCTATTCATGTATTCATAATCATATAGTGGTTTTGGGACGTTAAACCCCACATATCAATTCATGTATTATAGTTGATATAATTAGGCCTCTCCGAACTACAACTGGATTCTCTGAATTCGTTCTCTTCTTCTTTTTAGTCTGAATGTTCCTGCGTTTGACAATCACTTGGTTTAGGAAGTTGAGGTTCGCTTTGAGCGTGAGATATTTATAACAAAGTGGCTTCACCGACATAGGATAAAGGTTGAACAAGGGATACGCGCATGCTGCCTACTAACACACTTTGTTTTGAACGTAATTTGGATAGCCACCAACTTGACCCATCCGTCAGCCTTTTTCACAGGTCTGGTGCATAACTTTTCGTTTATTTATTTATTTATTTATTTATTTATTTATTTATTTATTTATTTACAAATATTGCTGTCTTTATAGACGAGACATAGCACCAGAAGGTGTTTTGGTGATACGTCTTCGGGATACAAAATAGGTGGACGGCTTTACATTCCGCATTCCAGCCGCGCCTTTGTCGTAGCTGCTGCTGCAACGGTCAACGAACATCTCTTGACGTGATACCACAACGTTGTGTCAGCTGTGCGTCAGTTTAGCAATCACAGTCTCATAGAGCTGTTGCCCATGTATGGGGAAATTGACAACGTACACCCCGCCCAGTGGCTATGCGCGTACTTGCATCTATCCAAGCAACAGCTTACTGGATGCTGAATCACGGTAAACCTGTGGTCCAGGAAACGTTAATGGTGTTGAAATGCCCATCAGCTTTTTCTTTTCTGATAGCATCTAACAATGATGGTCACATGGCTTGTGCTATTTTTTCGCACTGACAAGAAGTATACCGCCATCAAGACAGCACCGACAAGTACCGCAAACACTTACACGTTGCGTATCATCTGTTCTTGCGTTGCGCGAACACCTTTGCACCTATAGATTCGGGCTACTTCCGCGATCAAAGCCTCGCTATCGCGGGCAGGAGCTACACTGGAGGATGTCGCAGAGATTCGCTTTTCGCAGAGCCAAGCTTTCGCGCACTGATTGTCGACATCGTTCTTTTTCTTCGTCACCTGTCTTTTTTTTTACTTCTTTTTTCCCCCTACGGCTGCTGGTGATGGTGCAGTCGTCAGCCACTAGAGCGGAGGGGAAAGGTGATCTCGACCCAAAGCAACGTCAACGCTTAGAAGCACGTGAGTGCATGTTTGTCTGGCTCAAAAGCGTGTCCAGTCGGCGGTCAGTGGAGATAGAGTCGTCCCGTGTCATTGGCCGGCCTCCACCACTCTGCTTGACCGCCGCTGCGGGCCGTCTTAAATATAGAGGAGAGGCGCGAAGAGAGTGTCTGGCGTAACTGAGGTATCGGGCTACTTGTCCGCAAGGTGCAGAGTATAAGAAGAGTGCAAACACGACATCAATCAAGTATGTGTGTGTGGGGGGGGGGGGGGGTATCTCAAAAAGGGACTCATCGGGAGTCACGTGACCATGGAGTGACTAGCGAAAACAGTTTCTTTGGGTACTTCACAGGTGTTCGCTGAATCGACAATGCAAGACTTCATCAAACACCGTTTCCTGCATATTTTGTTTGTTATTTTTCATTTTTCGTGCGTGTTTGTTAATATCTGAGATGCTGCACATTATTTATTATGTACCTGGTCACAAGCAAGCTAATCTTTCTTCGCATTTATTTACCATTGTTACAGTCACGCCGAATTCACCGTCTGTTTCTGTAGGTCCTCCGGTCCCGTGACGTTCAGCGTCTGCCACAGAATTTAGCCGGAAACCGCGCCTTTTGTCCTGGGTACTACAATAGCCCTCAGAGCGGCATTAGGCCATCGTGACTGGCTATGCCGCGACAATGACAGCTGCATTCGTGGGCTGCATAGTCTTGTCTTGTCTTGTCTCCTAGGAGATCTTAGCTCACACCCACATGGGGGATCGGCCACACTGTACCTCATAATAGATCATTTTTTACAACGCTTGCTAAAAAAATACAGAAAAATTAGATAGGAACAATAATAATGTTCCTTTGAAAAACCGTGATAAATTGCAGAAGAATGCGATAAACCAGAATATATAAAACAAATTAACAAGAATGAGGAAGGGGGAGAAAGAATTGGATATATCTGGCAGTACCACTAGCAGCGTATCCTTCCGGTTGCCTGAATGAATTTATGTAGCGCTGACAGAATAGCACTGCGGCCCACACCCAACTGACTGGCTCCAAACGATAATAGGGTGGATGTATTGACTGGCAATCCGAGCATACCAATCAGTCTTTCAAGAATTATTCGGCTGCATAGTGACGCAGTATTTTGATACGGTTTCTTGCAAAACTCGTGCCAGCTCACATACTGAAAGAACTGGCAAATTCTTCTACGTCATGGTTCGCCAGAAATTTGTTGTTGTTCAGCCTATTTAAGGCTGCATGAAATGCGTTCTTCAGTGAAGCAACGCTTCGCACGTACAAAAATATCGGGGGACGCTCTCGGGGTATTACAAGCGGGGCATCTACTAGGCGTGCTATAGGCACTATACGTTTACTCTTCTCGTAGAATAAAGATACTTCATGGCTCATACTCTCTGCTATCAAGGAAATACACCCCTTCGAGAAGAGCCGATTACAAGTGGATTGAGTCACGTTGCGTGATAGATTCCGAGTAGCCACTGATTTCCCGCTTTAAGACGCAATGATGCTATCGATTGCCTTGGTGATCGGGTGATGCTTAGGACGTCTTCGCGGACGTCTCCGCTTTGGCGAAAGACGCGTGCGGAAACTCCTCCCGTTACCGGCTTTGTCGGAGAGTCACGCGCCGATAACGTCCTCGAGTACAGTTATCTCTCCTGGCGTACAGTGTCCCGTGGTGCGGCACATATAGCTCACGCATGCGGGTGCGATGCGTCAGGTTGAGTCAACGAAAGCACGGGACGTGGGACTTCCAGAAAACCGCATCCAGAAAACCGCATCCTCAGCATCGTGCTCTTTTTAACACTCTCTCCTAAGCTCCATTCTCAGCCAACCGCTTCAACGTATGGTTTTCTGATCGATTGCAACGTGCGCGTTCAATGCACTCGGCATGCCCGTCCCGGCCGCTCTGTTTGTTTTTCGCCTCATGGCTGTTGCCAGAGTACGGGTGCAACCGCGCCACTCCCGTGCATTTCTTACGTGGCGTCAGTGGTGTTCCCTTTCACTTCCGCTCAAGAGTTGCCGTCCATTGCACGATCGTGCGAAGCTTCGTTGAATGTTTGCAAACAGGCAGTTTCTCGTGTGGTCATATCTACAGAATGGAGAAAAAAAAGAAAATGAACAGCAATGTTTGTTAGTTACTCGTTGTTACGATGCTTCAGTTCAGCTGTGACCAAGGAGAATGATACGTTCGTGTTAAGTATATCAATGCGCTAACGATTAGCTTCAGCTTGGAGCATGCATGCGACTGCTCCACATCTTTTAAATATTTTTTTATTTTGTTTTATTCCTTCTATTTTGTGCGTGTTTAAGGGTTAACAGCGCGAAAGGAAAAATACACGGCGGACAGGAAAAGTATGGGACACATGTCAACCGTGTATTTTTTTCGCGCTGTTAAACCTGAAGTATGCTATACCATGAGTACCTTAGTAACCTGCGTTTCGCCGATGACATTGCATTGCTGAATAACTCAGGGGACGAATTGCAACTCATGATTACGGAGTTTGACAAGGAGAGCAGAAAGGTGGGTCTTAAAATTAATCTGCAAAAACGAAAGTAATATATAACAACATCGGAAGAGAGCAGCGCTTCGAGAGATTGCCACTATCCCTCAAGACAGACAGACAGACAGACAGACGGACAGACAGACAGACAGACAGACAGACAGACGGACGGACGGACGGACGGACGGACGGACGGACGGACGGACAGACGGACAGGAGACGAGAGAGAGAGAGAGAGAGAGAGAGAGAGAGAGAGAGAGAGAGAGAGAGAGAGAGAGAGAGAGAGAGAGAACTTCATTGGGTCCTGAGAAACGCTGCTCCTTTAGAGCAACGTCGCAGGCCACTCCCACGTAGGAACGGGGAGGCCTAGCTTCACCACCGCATCGTGAGCTCTCTGGACAGGTCGTAGTTGTGGAGGAAGGTATATAACAGCTTTATCTTGCCGGTACATAGCTATGGAACAGAAACCTGGAGACTTACAAAGAGGGTTCAGCTTAAATTCAGGACGACACAGTGAGCAATGGAAAGGAAACTCGTAGGTGTAACCTTAAGAGGCAAGAAGAGAGCAGAGTGGATTAGAGAACAAACGGGGGTTAAGGATATCATAGCTGAAATCAAGAAGAAGCCGCCGGGCATGTAGCACGTAGACAGGATAACCGCTGGTCATTAAGGGTAACTAACTGGATTTCTAAAGAAGACAAGCGGGTTAGGGGGAGACAGAGGGATAGGTGGGCAGATGAGATGAAGTTTGCGGGTACAAATTGGCGGCGGCAAGCATAGGACCGAGATGACTGGCGGAACATGGGAGAGGCCTTTGTCCTGCAGTGGTGGACGTAGTGAGGCTTAATATATATATATATATATATATATATATATATATATATATATATATATATATATATATATATATATATATATATATATATATATATATATATATATAATATATATATATATATATATATATATATATATATATATATATATATATATATATATATATACGATAGACACATAGCTCGAACGAATGCCTCTAGAGCAATTATTCACTTGCACACAAGCATCAGTCTCAAGTCGGGGGTTTCTTTTCTTAAAAAAAAACTGTTTATTCATGGGAGTTTATATGTACAAATAAATAGCATAGCTTGTATAAATGAATCAAAACATTGTTTAGGAACATAAAATGCGTGCAAAGAACTTCCGCTATAACGACATGCGTAGATGATGTTCAGCGAAGTGACTCCTTACTAAGGGATTGATAACTTAAAAAAAAAGCCCGTCTCGTGCAGTAAAGGGCAAACGTTTCACAAATGTACAACGCGTTCCATCAAGTCTTGTAAAGTGTCCATGAGGTTCCTAAAAAAAGTGATTAAAGTCCCGTTTGGCAATCGCCCACAGCAAGCACATTTCTGACTTGCCTGCTGAATCATTCAGATCTTCAGAGAGGCTGGTAAGATCTTCATAGAAGTTTGTAAGGAGATTTTCTCGCTAATGTCCACTGAGTCACCACTCTTCCTTGCTGAATAGGTCACATGAAAGAGGTATTCGTCGCCGTGTGGTTGGCGCCGTCGGACGCTCTCGTGTGCGATAGCGTGAGCTTGTTCTGGACTCCTCATCCGAGGGATGCGGCGCTGGCCCCTTCACCTAGCCTGGAGCCGGTCATTCCAAAGTTCTTGTTTCGCCCTCTTTTCGAAGCACACTTGGTTCTTCGTCAGCACTCGCATGATAGCGTTCTGAAGTTCGGCTTCACATTAATGCACTCACTGCCTCGTTATTTCGGTCCCTTGCCTTGTCCGGAGAATTTCTTCAAGAAGGCGTCGTTGAACTTGGACTTGGTCGACGAGACCGAGAATGAGGACGTGTACGAGTCGTTTTTGCTCGCGGAAGATTGCTTGCGGTCCTTGAACTTGTCGCCCATGTTGGAACCTGGCGAGCAGGAGAGGCTGCTGTTCCCGGATCGGCTCTGCAGGCTGCCGCAGGGTGACGATGTCTTGGGACTACCGGCTGCCTCGTACAGGTTGTAGTCCTTCTTGACGATGGGAATCATGAACGCCATGTCGAATCCGAAGTCTTCCGCAGTTGATTATTCTCGCAGTACGGGAACGTTCGTGTGGGGCGACGAAGCAGCAATGGTACCGTTGTCAGATAGGAAGGAGACGCGGCGCCGAAACGCTTTGTCCTGATGGGACGGGCAAGACGATGCGTTATAAAGCGGCGAGATAGACGCGCGCGACACACGAAACCGGCGTCGTTGGAAGAGACATCACGTGGGCCCCCCTCAGGGTCGGTCGCCGTCTAGTTACGGGTCGTCTTACTTATCGCGCGGCGCGAATGAATTTCTTTCTGTTGTTGGTTTCTCGTTTCACGGCGAGCAGGAAACGCGCGCGTTCCAGCCGGGATCGGTTTCTGCCGCGTTGCGGCGGAGGATGGGCCGCAGGCGTGGCAATGACGCCTTTTTCCCTGGCTTCGGGGTGACCCACGATGCATCGCTCTGCGGCACGTACTCGCTCGCGCTGCCTTCGACGTGGCCTTGTTTGCAAACGGCGGGGAGATTGTCACTCTCTTCTTCAGGGAGTGACGTGATCGCTTACAGATTGCGAGTAAACATAACAACGCCGGCTGCAGATAGCTACTCCGTATAGTTTCCCCGGCTATGCATTGGCGGGAAATCGTGGTCGCAATGCACTACGCGTAAGATTTGCGCTCGTGGAATCATACGTGCACTCGCCGGAGAGAGGAAAGCACCGACAAGACTGTGATGTCGACAGCTTTTTTACTTACGTTTTAAGAAAAAAAAAGAAGAATCATTCTTTCTACAATGCTTGCACAGATAAATTAGAAAGCTCTTACGCGCACGCGCAGACACGCCCACACGAAATAACATAAACACGGCGCGTAAAGACCTAACTATGGTTGTCCATACTTACGACCAAATACAGAGACAACTTCGTCATGCGGTATCTCACGGGTTAGTCGTGCTTCTGTAACTATCTGATGATATCGGGGATATCAGGCGCGTGAAATACGAGCTGAAATAATTGAGGCGGTATTTCGTAAGCCTTAAGGTGGGTTGGGGTTCAAAGCCCGAGTCGTACCGCGAACCCCAACCCAGCTGCATTGTGGTAAACTACATATAAATGGCCGGTTATCATGCTCGCCTTTCCATCTCACTTCCTTCTCTATACTTTAACACAAAAGCTCGTTTATCTTAACAGAAAAGCTCGAAAAGCGCTTCGGCGTCGTTGGATGTGAGTGAAAAAGCGTCATATTTGCGTGACAAAAAATCGAGAACAATGCAATAATATAAATAATAAAAGAATTCCGGGTTTTATGGGGCATCGAACCCGGGTCGTTTGCTTGGCGAAATGTTGTAGGCCCGTGTGCTCAGATTTGGGCGCACGTTAAAAAACCACAGCTGGTCGAAATTTCCGGAGTCCTCCACTACGGCGTCTCTCATAATCATATGGTGGTTTTGGGACGTTAAACTCACAAATCATCATTGCGTGGCAAGCGGGTGTTCGCACGCCCAGCAACGCCTCTTTTTTTCTTCTTTTTTCCAACATGGTATTTGATGAAGACGTATTGGTATTGTACACAATATTGCACAAAGTTGCGCTGTTGCAGTCCTATAACGACAAGAGGCGTACAAGCACTGGTTAGAAAGAAACTCGCTGAGGCCCTGTAGTTAAGGACGAGTTCGTCATCATGCGCTCTGAACAACAAAAGTTGTGACGCTAAGCATCACTAAGATGGGGTACCAGTCTCGTCGGAAGTCAAGTTCTTCATAAATATCCCTTTAAGTGAATATCATTCGGATGAAATGTGTGCGTGAAGAGGTGATCGGCTCTGCGTTGTGATCCTGCGTGCGCATCTTTCACAGACTGCGTATACCGTTAAGTAAAAACATATCGTATGGCACGTCATCAAGAGATGTTGGCATATGATAATGAATAGTGTACGAATTAGTTACAACCTTTTTCTGTAACGTTGATGGAGGACATGCCAGAATAGAATTGCGCCTTTGCAGCTCCACGAAACAATGATCTAATATTTCAGTTTAATCACAGAGGTGGCAACTAACAGTTGAAACGAAATATTATGCCTCTGCTTGGGAATACAGTGAAAATACATTCCTCTGCTTGGAAATACACAGATAGTAACATTCATGATTTACAAACACACGCGTCCTGCATATATGCTTCACAATACAAATCAAATATTGCCGTAATATTGTGCGGTGCAAGCCTACATTGTGATTGGGCGGCTTTACATGGAAATATCAAAATGAATTCATAGTTTAAAACAGCCGCCCAATACAAAAGGCACACACGTTACTACACCCTCAAGGCCACGTGGTGGGTGCATAGAAAGCTCGAGAAACATATTATACAGTAAGTGTTTGAACTATCGCTGTCACGTTCAACTCTTAAGGCGAAGCTTAAGGGTCCCCAAAATTCTTGGAGAAAGTAGGCACCAGCCAGTTTCCTCGACAAGTCTCTTTCGGTCCACAACTCCACACAGCAAGGCTCTTTCTCCTGCCGTTAGACAACGCAGCTGTTATCATACCGCTGCTGATAGCGAAGTTGAATACTCGGTACAGACCAGTACTCTTGATGCGAAGTGATGTGAGAAGCTATATAGTTCTCCCCGCTGCATTTCCGATGGAGGCGGAAATGTTGTAGGCCCGTGTGTTCAGATTTGGGTGCACGTTAAAGAACCCCAGGTGGTCAAAATTTCCGGAGCCCTCCACTACAAGGTCTCTCATAATCAAATGGTGGTTTTGGAACGTTAAACCCCACAAATCAATCAATCAATCAATCAATCAATCAATCAATCAATCAATCAATCAATCAGTTCTCCTCGCAATTTGTAAAAATCGGCATTCACGCACGTGCAGCGTTTGCTGTTCATCATACAGAACACCACTTCAGTGTCAAAGTTCACGAAGGTTTGCACTGTGGTAATCTTACTTCACTCGCATAGCAATAACCCCCGCCCTTCCTTCCCCCTCCTATGAACACATGCCAGTTCTGAAGAGTTATACAACCTAACTGATTGATTGATGTGAGGTTTGACGTCCCAAAACCACCATATGATTATGAGAGACGCCGTAATGGAGGGCTCCGGAAATTTCGACCACCTGGGGTTCTTTAACGTGCACCCAAATATGAGCAGACGGGCCTACAACATTTCCGCCTACATCGGAAATGCAGTCGCCGCAGCCGGATTCGATCCCGCGACCTGTGGGTCAGCAGCCGAGTACCTTAGCCACAAGACCACCACGATGGGGCGATGTTATACGACCAGATTGTGGTATCTTTATGGTGCCAAAACAGTGTTTCAGAAAGTCTGGCCGAGAAAACCATGAAGGCAGTCGTCGCGATGCCATCAACGCGGCAAACAGATGCGAAGGTGGTCGTCGAGACAATTGTGAGAAGGCTGGTATACACTTGTCGCGAGTCCCGGGCGATAAGCGTTGTCTTAAGAGAACCGGGTTGAGGCAGTTTCTTTATGACGGCCACGAAGGCTTCACTGAGTAGCTCTTGCGTAAGAAGCTGCACCTGGTATGGAGAGAAAACATGCCGCACACCGGGAACTTTAAGTACGGTACGTCAGCATATCCACCTTGCTTGAGCAACTGCTTGACGCACTCCAAATGGGAAGCCCAACTTTGCACTTCACCACACTTTTTTAATGTACCCAGTGTCTTGACCGATGCCCTTTCTTTAGAGAACAGCCAAGCCTGTATCATTCCACGTGAAAATGCCACAAGGCGCCACGCACCTGCCTAGAATACCTAATCCTTCCGCCTCACTGTGCACGGTCACCGCTCTTTCCAGCCCAGCCGTGGACCACCAGCCAAGACTGATTGACTGGGCCATCTCAGCAGCATGTGAAACCCCGGGTTGTGGGTTCTACCCTCTGGGACTTCACAAGCAAAAAGAATAAAAGTTATAGTTTTTACACTACCACAAATAATACTGCTACCATACCGACGTTTCTCCGGCATCACGGCCAGTGTTCGATAATTGGGGATTCGCAGACCTCTCTCAAGAATACCCTAATAATAGCAACACCTACGGTCTTTTGTCCCAAAACCATATGATAGAGAGACGCGCTCTGGAAATTTAGAATTCAGACAATGCGGTGTTCTTTAACGCATATTGACATCGCACAGTACAAATGCCTCTACCTTTTCGCCTCCATGTAAATGCTATCGCCTGCTGTAATTTTTTGGGCTTGACAAAAAATCTAAGGTTTTCACCTTGAAACGGAATGGAAGTACCTTACCGGCAAGGGCATTTGTCAAAGCAGGACCATTTCGCCATGAACCGAGGAGACGTTACGTAACATCCGAGTAATTTCAGGATACGCAACGAAACCTCCACAAGTGCGGAAACATTCCAGCAAAGCACGGCGTGCGTATCGGATGTCTTCTTCTTACCATTTAATGGAAAGTTACGTGAACCGCGGCGCGTCATCGCACTGTGAAGAAATTTTCCACCGGACAGAATAACGTGTTCGTCTCTCGTGTCGTGCAGGAGCCCATTGTGCTTGGACCGGCGCTGTAGAATGTGCGTATTAATCATCGACATTTCATTGGCCTATTGCGTTTCCAAGAAATATGGCAGCGCACGTGTTTTTACAGTGACTATTTAATTTGTTAAGGGTATGTTGGGAGCTGCCATAATAGGTTGTTAGCAATGCCATTTTGTATCTTAAACAAGGAGACGGGTATACGCGTACGCCTGAAAACGACTGGGGCTGCTGCATTAGAAGTTTTATGACCGTGTTAATTTCTCGTAAGAACTTACAATAATTGGAAAACACTCGCTTAAATGCCCCAAGTGGTGGTGCAAAAGTGTCCACGGTAAAATCGTCTATGCGGTGTTAACACTGGCGCCACGAGGAGGAATGTCGACGTGTGTTTTACTTCTGAATGATTGTGCCACAAAACAGCCAATGCATAAATTCGCATCGAAGGAATGATTTCGGCAAAGCGCATTGACATTCTCATATTGTCTCGCACAACAAAACGAGAATAGTCATCATTCTACATGACAGGCTTCAATTATTTTCTATTACAATAAACCAATTGTGAGGTCAATTTAGTGGGAACGCACCGC